GTAAAGTCATGATTTTATTAAAGACACGGAGGCGAGTATTATTCCCACCCACCCTCCCGGTGTTGGGTCACTGGATGAGATGCTGTTGGACTTTTCAGGTATGTTGCAATCTGGTCTGTTTACTGTATAATGCGTGTGGATTTTATACTTACTCGTTGATGTTTTGGTTGTATACGATTCTATATTAATCATATATTTTGTATTACAGGTTTAAGTTCCTGAGTAGCAACCGGCATGATTGTTTGGTAAGTCTTCAGTTTGGAGTTTGGTTATTACCATATTTCTCTCTCTCTTTTAGCTTGAAGTTATCGATTTGTTCCTGTTTCCTGTTCTTCCAAGTGGGATGTCGTTCATGTTTCCTGGTCTTCGTTTTTTGCAAGAAAGAGGGAGATTGTGGGAGACACAGGCCTTTTATAGTCACTTCCTCTGTTATGTGATTGGTTGCCTGTGTGCCTATACAGTTTTTTCTTTCCTTTTGATAATATTTATATTCCTCTATCTTTGCTGCTGAGGGAATAAAGAAAGAGTTATGCATAATACGCGCCTCCGTGTCTTTAATAAAATCATGACTTTACGTCATGTTAATAGTAAAATCTGGAATTTTAATAAATATAAAAGATAAGACATAAATCCAATACTAATATTTACATTCATGTGTTATTACTATGATGAAATTTTATTTTTATTTATATAGTACCAACAATTTTTGCAACATTTAATATATTGAAAGAAAATATTGAGATAACTTACGATTTCCTGAGCTTCGCCTAGGATTCCATGAGTATTTTTGGTGAAATAAAAATCCAAATACTTCACAAACCTTTTCTGCTACTAGTAATACCACCAAAGTTAGGAGCACTCTCTCTCTCTCTCTCTCTCCATATATTTATGTAGTATTCCTATGATGTTTAGATGACCAGCTCTCCACAAAGCACTGAAAAGGTTAAACTTGCTAATAAACTCACCTTTATTCCAGCGCAAAGAGAATTTACTCATTATAACTCCAACCTGCCTCAGACGAAGGCATTATTACTAATGACTTGTGTCTAACCCAATGTTTCCTATTGGCACAAACAGAACATATGTGTCAATCGCTGCAAGCCACTTCCGCTTTCCACTTTGATTGATGCAGGATACCCCCCCAGCTGTTTACAGAACAGCTAGGAGATGTTACTAAGGGGATTTTTAAATGTGCTGGTTTCTCTTGAACGCGGTGCTTTCATAAAATAAGGCAAAGCAGACATGTGGTTACCCTTAAATAATTTTAGGTAGCTAGAGTACTTTAGGACAGGAATGTTGCTTTAATTACTGAGTGGTGAGTTCCATTTTTTTATTACAGTAGTGATGGTATCACTCACTTCTTCCAAATCGACCTTCATTTGTATGTATGTTTGTTTAACCCCATCATGACAGACAACACATCAGGACTATCAGGATATCATACGTTTGCCTATACCCTTTGTAATGAGGAACAAATTAGATCAGTGTTTCCCAAACCAGTCCTTAAGACCCAACAACAGTCCAGATTTTGTCAGTATCTCCACTGGAATAAAACAGGGAAATACATATATCCTGGATTTTTGGTGGGCCATGAGGACTGGTTTGGGAAAGACTGAATTAGATACCTTCCTTATAGTGTACATCTACATATGTTATTGTTGTGTCTTACATTTTGTGTATATTTTTGTTAACTATGATATGTTAATTTGCTGTAACAGTGCTTATTTATCCTGTAATTGATTTACATGGAATTGTTTGTAGATATTTGCTTCACACATCATCAACTCAGGAAAGGTGTTTGTGGTTTCAGTTTTTCTCAGGCGCACACACACTTTGACAATGTTGTGGGATATTATTGTTTGAAATTGAAATTGTTTGAAAATACTTTTTCTAGGTGTAATGAATTGAAATGTCCATTGGTTCCGGGATAGCGTTGATAACTCTTCTCAGAAGTATTGCTTAAAGGGGCACTATAGTCACAAAAATAACTTTAGCTTAACGCCTTAAGGACACATGACATGTCTGACATGTCATGATTCCCTTTTATTCCAGAAGTTTGATCCTTAAGGGGTTAATGAAGCCGTTTGGGTGTATAGATCATGCCTCTGGAGTTTCACTGCTCAATTTACTGCCATTTAGGAGTTAAATTACTTTTGTTTCTGTTTATGCAATCCTAGTCACACCTCCTCAGGCTGTGACTCACACACCATGCATGAAGAAAAAAAAAATGATTTCAATTTCAATTAGAAGTAATTTACTTTAAAAGTTCTTATTGCCTGCATTCTAATCATACACAGGAGGCTTATGTAAGGTCTAGCAAGCTATCAACAGTGCAGGGAATACTAAAGTTTAAATTAAAAACAATTTTCAATGAAGGAAGTATAAACATTAGCTGACTCTTTACAGGAAGTATTTAGAAAGGCTGTTTAAGTCGCATGCAGTGAGGCGTGACTAGGGGTGCATAAACAAAGTGATTTACCTCCTAAATGGTAGAGAATTGAGCAGTGAGACTGCAGTGTCATGATCTATACACCAAAACTGCATCAGTAAGCTAAAGTTGTTTCGGTGAAAAGAGTGTCCCTTTAAGGATGACCATTTATTGTAAGTTACAGGGCCATTTTTCCCAAAACTGATAATAGTAAAAGGGCTCTTTAGAAATATCAATGCATTGAGAGTGTGATTACATCAACATCATGAATTGCTCATCTGCAGCTGCTAACATGACAATAATTATCACATGATATATAGTACTCTACTCCTTAGTTTGAGAGACAGAGCAATGTGAAACAACAGCTTTCCAGAACTCTTTTGCAAGCTTACAAATCTAGATTTTATTAGACATACTTAACTATAACTGAATATTTTGCTATCATTGAGTAGGAATTGTGTAGTATAATGACATTTATTCTCTTTGTCCAACCTTGTGTTATTTTTTTCAAAGGGATGGTTTAGCCAAAAGAAGCAATTTTGTATTCTTTGCTCATGAAATTTGAAGTAGAGATGGGCTAAGATTAAGTGGTTATCTGACAAAAAGGGGTGGGTGGAATCACATATAATAATGCTGCTATATAAAGGGGATTTGTTAAATTTGCCTGATTTTGGTTTGCTAGCAAATGTTTTACGCACCTCTTACTAAATGGATGCAATTTGAGGAAATTTAAGCTGCATCTGTTACTAAGACTCATTGCTTCATAATTACAGAACACACTTTTTGATGCAATTTAGTCAAATTGTTAATGCAAGTTCCTTCAATCCAAGCAAATGTGTTTCATAGAAAACAACTCGAAATGCTCAAATTGCATCAATTTAGTGTTTGCACGTCTCCCCACTTCTTGGTAATTGTCTCCATAAGACTGGCCATTTTTCCCTCTTTAAACACTTGTCTAGATTTCTCATTGCAGAAGGAGGATACAGTGTTTGGATTCCAGCTCTTTCTGACTGTATGCTTTAATGTCAGGCTAGTGTGTATTATAGAGTGACTTTATTGTTTATTGCTGCTTCCATTTCCAGTAAGTATAACAAACTATAGGAGGAATGTATAAATAAAGATATGATTTTTAACACTAAACATAAGCCCCTTTGTGTTAGTTTTCAAAATAGGTTTTATAGATATTAACAAAAGAATAATAAATTGAGTTGTTTTTTTTTTCAAGCCATGCACAGTTAATGTGATGTGTATGGTGGCAATGGGTGATCTAAACTTGCATTTTAACTTTTTAAAAGTACCGTTGTATTAGACCATGATAACATAAATGGCAATAATAGATTTGGAGATATGTTTCTTCGATTGCTGGTCTAAAATGTTTAATTTCAAACAATCCTAAATTTAGTGAATGCACTCCCCTTTTTTTACATTTTTATGTTCCTGCCATAATGGTTCTTTATTTTTACTACAATTATTGTAAACACTGAACTAGCTGCATCACATAAACTCTTTTATACATTCCCCAAATGCTTTATATGTTTTATATGTTTTAAAAAGTCTTCATTACAAGCTGTTAGACTTGAATTATGTTTTGTTTTTATGCAAAGTGCAGATAAAATAAATAACAGAGATCAATCATAAATAAAACTTGATTTTTTTTAATGTTTAATTTTTATTGTAAGGTGCACACATAACACAGGTACATACAGTATCTCACAAAAGTGAGTACACCTCTCAAATTTGTGTAAATATTTGAGGGGTGTACTCACTTTTGTTGCCAACAGTTTAGACATTAATGACTGTGTGTTGGGTTATTTTGAGGAGACAGTACATTTACACTATTATGCAGGCTGTACACTAACTACTTTACATTGTAGCAGATTGTCATTTCTTCAGTGTTGTCACATAAAAAGATATAATAAAATATTTACAAAAATGGGAGGGATGTACTCACTTTTGTGAGATGCTGTAGGTTCAAAGGAAAGCAACATGTCGATATACATGGAGTTATACAGATTTCCGATATAGTCTAACAGATAACAGCTAGGTAAGCAATGATACATAATGTACTCAGAGAGTTGGAGGACATAAGTAATTCTGCGTATTCACTATTAAGAACCTTGATGTCATCGGCCTCGTGGTGGGGACCTTCTGTTATGAACAGCGGTTGGGAGCTTTGAGGCATGTTGCATTCTGGAGGTTGCGGGAGACCATTGCATCCCTACAGTTTTTATACCTTAAAATATTGAGGTACTCTCAAGAAATTGTGCACAATTGTTATTTTAAAACCAAATTAAACATAGGAATACTTAAGGAAACACAAAAGGCAACAAGGAAAACAAAAAGTTGAGAAATTTGCTCTATTATATCATTTTGGGTAGTGCATAGCACATGCTCATCACTCATGTTTTTTACTCTCTCACTTAGGGGCTGGGCCCGACAAGTGGTCACTCGTATGGTTAGGTGGAGGGTCTTGGTGTGGTCTAGCTCACAGGTAGCGATCAGGTGGCCACAAGGCCAATACGAGGGGCAATATCTTCCCTGTGCTTTTTTCTATTAATAGTTGCATTTGTCACCAGAAGGCAATACCGAAGATATGGCATTATTTGCATGGCCAACACATTTGGTTGGCTCCTGGGTATATGTGAGCTAGTTTCTGGGGGTTGAGGTACCATCTCATCCTCATTTTATAAGCTGCCTTTGTGTGATTCAAACAGTGTGTAGCTTTTTTAACTTGCATCATGGCTAGAAACGTCGATGCTATATCCAAGCTCCCTTTCCCATTGGACCATGTAGCCCAATTTTAGAGGCCTGTCCAGCTCTAATATTCATTGGTAGCAAAGTGAGAGTGGCTTAGTAAGAGTCGGGCGTCCTTGACACATTGTATCAAATGCGCTTAGTTGTCGAGTATCTACAGTGGTCAGTCCAGTATCTCCCAAAATATGTTTTATACATAGGTATGTAAATAGCTCTCTGCTAGGTAGTAGGTGGACTTGCTGTAGGTTGGAAAATTGTTGTATCCTTCCGTCATCTATCAACTGTGCCACTTTAGTAACCCTTCCCTCTGTCCATTGGTCCAGTAGTAAGTCTTGCGTTAGATATTTTAAGCTGTCTAGAGAGAATACATGCTCATAGGTTTTGTCATCATTTTGGGGGTCCATTTTATTCCAAGCACGGAGAGATACATTTGTGGGTGATAGTAAGCTTATTTGCTGGGGGTGGAATTGGGCAGGGACCCAGATCAGGTCCATTATTGAGTGCGGTCGCTGCACTGATTGCATTTTCTAACTGATGCCACAGTGGGGTCATTGGCATCGATATGAGTCTTGCTGTCTGAGCTAGGGTAGAAGCTAGGTAATATTTAGAGATGTGTGGAAAACTTGAATTGTTTTTGATGGTAGAATGATTGATATTTTTTCTTGAATTACTTCTTACCAATAATTTTATTGTGAATAAAGAGACCCAAGACAGCAGAAAAAAATGGACCTAAGTGAACTTTATGTCTGGAAGAATATTAGATCTTATTTACTGTGTACTACGAAACAAACGTATGTTATTAATGCCTGCTTTTTGCATTTGATATGAAATTTGTACTTCTGCTCTCAATCTTTAGTCACCCAAACTGGGAAATGTGATGCAAGAAATTGCTGTATAGAAATATAAATACAAACTTAACTGATCAGCCTGTTTAACTAAATAAATTAAAGGTAGTGACGATGTAGATACATAATTAGCCTATGAACATTTATAGAGTTTGCTTTAGTTACTTCCTATCCCATTAAATAGTTTTCATTACACTACATGCAAGAGGGGGAAGGGGGAAATCAGCCACACAGTCATGGCAAGCTTCTGGAGAGAATATTGTTCCTTTAGAGGCTGACTGAGATATAGTACAGAACTGCTCTGGAAGCTGAGTATGTTGTATTTCTTTTCAGACTTGCTGTGCTAAATGTTACAAACATCGCAATGACTTCCACTGTCCGTGTTTTCATTGGCTTTAGAAAAAAAAGGATTATTCATATATTAAATCATTGTAATCATATTTTCAATAGTAAATTCCAAAAACCTATTAGATTGCTCTTTTTCAGTAATAAACATTTTTGGCTGATTTCTGTACCTACTATAAAACAAGTGGAAAAAAAAGTTTTGAAAAGCTATAGTCTGGATTAAGTAACACTTGTTTTGGGAAGTTCTAGTTGAATCCCAATTCATCTCCCACTCCTGATGACATCATATTGCTGAGGAATCTTCTTCTGTATATTGGCTTTGGTTTTAAAAGGATGTACTTGGCCATAGGCACTGTAAATGGAACCAGCAAAGAAAAACTCAAAAGGCAATTAGTCAGTGTCTTGCTTCCCCCAGTTCTCTTATATAATTGGGTGGAGTGTTAGAGGAATTGAACAAACACACAGTGTAAAGCAGGAGACTGCAAAGACTTAAAGGACCACTATAGGCACCCAGACCACTTCAGCTTAACATAGCAGAGAAACTGCTATGTTTATAAATGGGTTAATCCGGCCTCCAGTGGCTGTCTTTTGACAGCTGCTAGAGGCGCTTGCGTGCTTCTCACTGTGAAAATCACTGTGAGAAGACGCCAGCGTCCATAGGAAAGCAGGGGGTGGGGGCACCCTCAGGGCACTATAGTGCCAGGAAAACGAGTATGTTTTCCTGGCACTATAGTGGTCCTTTAAATGGCCATATACCCTCTGCAACAGTGATTGCATTTAGGACACATAAAAGCATCAGCACCATTTTCTGGCCCATACAGATTGAAAATGAGCAACCAATAAGTAAAGACAGGTAAGAGATCTGGGGCAGTTTTACTCATATTTATACAAGAAGAAGCAAAAGAGAATTTGGCTTTCGGAGTCAACCACTAATAATATAGTCTTCAATTGCCATTTCATTCTGTGATTGTGGCTTGTTTGTGTGCAAAGACTTAAAGGACCACTATAGTGCCAGGAAAACATACTTGTTTTCCTGGCACTATAGTACCCTGAGGGTGCCCCCACCCTCAGGGACCCCCTCCCGCCCGGCTCTGGAAAGGGGAAAGGGGTAAAACTTACCTTTTTCCAGCGCTGGGCGGAGAGCTCTCCTCCTCCGATCCTCCTCTTCTCCTCCCCGCCGGCTGAATGCGCACGCGCGGCAAGAGCTGCGCGCGCATTCAGCCGGTCGCATAGGAAAGCATTTACAATGCTTTCCTATGGACGCTGGCGTGCTCTCACTGTGAAAATCACAGTGAGAAGCACGCAAGCGACTCTAGCGGCTGTCAATGAGACAGTCATTAGAGGGAATGGGGGAAGGCTTAACCCATTCATAAACATAGCAGTTTCTCTGATGTTTATAAAAAAATGGGTTAACCCTATTAAGCTGAAGTGGTCTGGGTGCCTAGAGTGGTCCTTTAATTCATTTGGATTATATATTACAATATTTTGGGGCCAATGCCCAAAAGTAGAAAAATCATCATTTAAAACTTTGAGCCAGATTGCTTGTCCTAAAAAAAACCCTAATAATAATTATTGATGGCAGCTAAGTTGCTAAATGGGAAATACGTTTCCACTGGTATGGGGGATATTGATGTTATCCCCAAATTCTGCATATGGTGAGCCCTCATTGAAATCTGCAGTGAAAGAGAAGAAATTCAGAGCAGAGTGTGCTCAAGATGCCTTCTAAGTGGTCTAGACGCCACATGAATGTAATTGGTACCTAACACTAATGCAAGTCATGTACTAAGAACAGACACCAAAAAATGAAGCTAGCATCATGGCAGTTATGCCAAAATTCTATTTACTAGCTGGCATATGTCATCCCTAATGAATCAGATGCAGTGCCATTACCTATTTACTAGGTTGTACTGTTGTTTTCCAAGGTACAAAAAATAAATCCAGTTTTATGGGATAACTCTAACGCACAGTGTGACCTTTTTATGGCTTGTTTCTTCATGGTTTGGTAAAGAATATGGTGTATTGCAGAACCTCTGAAAGAGAAGGAACTATGAAAACTAAATACGCAGCTCAGACAATGATCAAAGAGTACCATGCAGATACAAATGCATACATAAATGCATTGGGCCATTCACAACACTATGATTTTCAAATATGTTGTTAAATATATTGAGTTGAGTAACTTTAAAAAAAATGCTGATCTGTATGGAAACCAATGCCCACAAGAAGAAGGAGATGCAATGCTAAATTGCTTTATGATGTGACATGTTTAGAGGTATAAGTGACATATCTATAGAAAGGTGGGCGACAACACTGAACCTTTACCAGAGCAGGTGACATTTGTCAGTTCAAACATTTGAGAAAATATTCCCATATATTGAGTGATTTTGGATAGTAACTATAAAGACATTACTATTTTGTGCTTTTCATGCTAATGTTATATTGAGTCATCCAACAGTAGTGTTTGAATAGTTTATTTTAACACCATATTTGAATAACAAAATAAATCAATTAGGAGTTACCGTGGGCTTCTTTCAGGATTATCCTGAAGATGTTAATTCATGGTTTGGTGAAATGCGAGAAACGAGCTGACTGGCATCTGTTTGTGAAACACACAATAACTGTAAATAACACATATTAGAACCCATCAATCATAGGTTTTAATGCACCTTTCTAGAGAAAAACACAAAATAAAATAATATGATAATGCATTGTGTGCAAAGAATTGTGCTCACAATAATGTGCTCATTTTTACTGGTTTATAGTCATATTTTAAATCTTAACTATTGAAATTTCTACCTAATAATTTGTAATTTTCAGAAGTGATCCTCCAGCTTTCAACAATAGCTCATAAAATAATGACAACTTGTCCAGCAGCAAATCCCAACTAAGGAGATCAGATTGAAGCTAACCCCTCTCCCACCCAAGGCTAGGCCCTATTTTAAGTGTTAAAGATAGTGCATTCAATTGAATTAAAGGGACACCATAGTCACCAGAACCACTACAGATTAATGGAGTGGTTCTGGTGTCTATAACCTGTTCCTGCTGGCCTTTCAATGTAAACACTTCCTATTCAGTTTTTACATTGCTGCCTAGTAACACATCTAGTACAGTCATTCAGAGGGCCTCTAGAGGTGCTTTCTATCTCAGTGCTGCACAGCGTCTCTGCATGGAGACGCTGAATGCTCACCATAGAGATGCATTACTTCAATGCATCGATATGAGGAGACGCTGATTGGTGCAGTGTAGCTTTGTGCCATGCGTGCGCAACAGCCTCCCACTGCTTTCCTACTACGGGAAAGCAGTGGATTGGCTGAGATCATCATGACTGATGATCTCAGACATGGAGGCGGAGCCAGGTGGTGTTGGGCCAGGGACCTAAATAGTTGGTTTAACAGTATAGTGTTAGGAATACATGCTAGTGTTCCTGACACTATAGTGTCCCTTTAATAATAAATATATAAAATGAAAAACAAAAGATTTTGATGTATGGATTTCTGTAAATCCTAAATTTGGCTGTGGCTGAGGTATCCCAGACAATCTCTTCTGTTTCTGAAGGGATCACTGCATATATTCCATAAATGCCAGCTCAACAGGAGTATTTGAGAAATGTAGTTTAATATTCGTAATTAGTTTGTCAATAAAAAAGGCAACTGGAATTATTTCTCAAGCTAACAGAAAAATGCAGCTTTCTAATGGAAACCATATATTCTGTGCATGTGCTTTGTTCATGAAACATAACGATACTTTCACCTCCTGCTCGATAGGCATATCAAAATTTTATCTGACAGTATAAAGTGAGATCGTTGATGTTCATCCTTGGACCTTCCTTTTATTGTTGATCTCTTTGTGGGTA